TCAAATATTTCTGGAGAAACCTGAAAATGTGCATCTGCCCCATCCAACCTGACAGAGCTTGAGAGGTGAAGAGGTGAGGTGAAGAATGGCAAATAATTGCTAAATGCTGATAAGCAAAGCTTGTCGCATCAAACAAAAAAGACTTAGTTAAGGGTATGAATACTTATGCAATGTACTTATTTCAGTTTTTTTAATTTTTAATTTACGAAGTTGAGACAATTCTGTTTTTGCTTTGTCAATATGATGGAGTGTAGATTGATGTGGGGGAAAAAAGTACATTTAAGCAGTTTAACATAAGGCAGCAACATAACAAAACGTGAAAAAAAATGAAGGGGCATGAATACTTTTGCAAGGCACTGTATATATATTCGCTGCTTTTTCAAACTAAAGAACAAAATACATACTAGATTTCTATTTTAAATAAACTCTCTTTTCTATTCAGCAAAGAAACATTTAAAAATGGCATCTACCATGGTTTTGCACAAAGATATAATGCAGCTGTTTTCAATATTAATAATAATCAAATCAGCATATTAGAATGATTTCACGTGACACTGAAAACTGGAGTAATGGCTACTGAAAAATCTGAATTGCCCTCACAGAAATAAATTATTTCAAAAATATTAAAATAGAAACCAGTTCTTTTAAATTATAATATTTCACAATCTTGTGGTTTTCCATTTTTTAAAAGCAAATAAATGCAGTGAGCATAAGTATGGAAAGCCTGTTTCCATGCATACAAAATAAAAAAGGTAATTGCGACATTTTATCTCACAATTCTGATCCCCCCCCCCCCTCAAAATTCTGCGTTTATATCTCACAATTCTGAATTGTGAGAAAACAAGATTTCAAGAGACTTCCTAAAAAAACCAAAACATTAAAAATCTTACCAACCTTACATTTTTGAAATGTTGAATGTTAGTGTACATACAGTCATCCAAATTTATATTTTAGTTTACAAAACCATTTTTTTAATCATCTGGGCATAAAGAGGATTTAAGGTCATGAGAAACCGATACAGCTGGTGGTGTACAAATGTGAAGTATATGCATTTACTTGTTATCTAAATAATCATTCTGGCCAGGAGTGCATTGGAGCTGAAACACAACCTCTTAAAGGGTGCACAGACAGGAGACTTCCCTCTAAAATTAGATTAGTTACTGGCTAGTCACATTGACTGAGATATTAACAGTGTATAAGTGGGAGAGACCAAGAGTGAAGGCAAGACGAAGGGTGAGCGTAGTTCGTCCCCAAGAGATTTTTCAGGTATCCCATATAGCATACTAAAGCATTAGACTACATTGAATCATGAACATTAACACTTTAGCTGCATGGACCAACCTACTGAAACTTCCAAATGACTTCCAGCTGACACAACAGCAGATGGCTTTGGACTGCAGACGAAGCTGCTCTGGGCGTGATGGTGAATCTGAGTGAGAAAGACATTGATCAAATCCGAGAATTCACTGCATAGTAAGTATTTATTGAACAGTGCCTTTAATGAAACTCTTTATTGTACAGTGCCTTTAATGAAACTGATAATATGCAGTGGACATTTTTTTGTATTCATATTTATTTAGATAATTACAATAAAAAATGTAGTCTTGAATACACCTCCAGTTTCTGAATTAAAATTAATTTTTTGGTCTGACCCAATCGATTTGTGGGCAGTGCTCCGATTTGCACAGCTGCCAGTAAGAATAAAAAAAGGAAAAAGAATATGATAAACTACATGATAATATATTATCAATGGTGTCAAATGGTGTAATTCCAACATTTTTAAAAGACTTTTCTTTTTAGTTTGACTCATTGCATGTTCCTGTTAACTGCAGCATCAAATTCAGATGTAACACAAAATCTTGAGAAATGTTTTTACAGGCACTTGAAGTGTATGAAATGGGTACTTTTCCTCTCACCAGAGAACTACCGTAGGTTTTTGGAGTTCATGACAGTTTAAATCCTCAAGAGGTGCAGGAGGAATCTATTAAAAAGGACTTTCAGTCTCTGAATAAAGACAGCAGTGAACAGTGAGTGCAAATAGATAAAGAAAGCAGCAGAGAAACACTTCACCCACACTCTGTCATTTAACAGTGTGAAATTCATCACGAGCCTTTCATAAGCATTCACAGCCCACCTTTACATTGTCAGTCTATTTGTGCATATTTCTGGGTGAACTGCTTACACAAGCATGTAGAGAGGGTTACTGGGTTTCTCTACATCTGTTTTGATACCAACCTACTGAAACTTCCAAATGACTTCCAGCTGACACAACAGCAGATGGCTTTGGACTGCAGACGAAGCTGCTCTGGGCGTGATGGTGAATCTGAGTGAGAAAGACATTGATCAAATCCGAGAATTCACTGCATAATAAGTATTTATTGAACAGTGCCTTTAATGAAACTCTTTATTGTACAGTGCCTTTAATGAAACTGATAATATGCAGTGGACAATTTTTTGTATTCATATTTATTTAGATAATTACAATAAAAAAATGTAGTCTTGAATACACCTCCAGTTTCTGAATTAAAATTTATTTTTTGGTCTGACCCAATCGATTTGTGGGCAGTGCTCCGATTCGCACAGCTGCCAGTAAGAATAAAAAAAGGAAAAAGAATATGATGATAAACTACATGATAATATATTATCAATGGTGTCAAATGGTGTAATTCCAACATTTTTAAAAGACTTTTCTTTTTAGTTTGACTCATTGCATGTTCCTGTTAACTGCAGCATCAAATTCAGATGTAACACAAAATCTTGAGAAATGTTTTTACAGGCACTTGAAGTGTATGAAATGGGTACTTTTCCTCTCACCAGAGAACTACCGTAGGTTTTTGGAGTTCATGACAGTTTAAATCCTCAAGAGGTGCAGGAGGAATCTATTAAAAAGGACTTTCAGTCTCTGTCATGGGTACAGAAGATTATAAATAATACAGAATTCGTATTTGTTTTTTTTTTAGATTATAAAAATGCAGAAAGTTTTCTGTGAGCAGTAGGTTTAGGTGTAGGGCGATAGAAAATACAGTTTGTACAGTATAAAAACAATTACGCCTATGGAGAGTCCCTACAAGGATTGTGCACCAGACGTGTGTATGTGTACTTATTTTGTGTACTCAACGGAAGTCTGAAATGTCCTCATTAAGATAGCGAAACAAACGTGTGTGTGTGTGTTTGTGTATAATTTACCAGAACCTGTCATTTTGAACTCATTTATGGTTCCATGAAGAACCTTTAACATCCATGGAACTTTAACATTGCACAAAAGGTTCTCCATAGTGGAAAAAGTTTCTTTAGACTATTTAAATGCTCTTCACACTTAAAAAAAAAAAGTCCTGAAGTCATTGTTTCCTGAAACTATTTATCTTTGTGCCCAGAGATGTGATCAAAACCAAATATTCCTTAAGGCAGTAGCAATATAATTAAGCCCACTAACTGAAAGTGCAGTGCTAAAAACTGGTGAAAATATTGAGCTCCAATAAGCAAATAGACATTACTTCATGTCCTCTCACTCCTTAGGTATTCAGAAACATAAATATAATGGAGAAAATGAAAAGTAAAACAATACCAGCATGCTAGACTAAACAATTTTTTGTAAAGCAAACTATATATATAAAAAAAAAAAATTCTACACTATAAATAAAGCCATATACACAGCATTCTGATACAAAATGGAGGCATATCATTTATAACCAGCAACACAATTTCAAAAGAGCTTAAAATACACGCTGCTATAGGACCATCTTTCCATTTTTATTACTTCACATCCGTTTACAAAAATCCTTAACCATTTTATAAAAGTGGAGTGATTTTTGAAATCTAACCAGTAGTGTGGTGAATCTCTAAACCAGTTAATTTCCCCAGAGTGAACATAGCAGTTAAATTCTTTTGTGAAAAATTTGTTAAATACAATCAAGAGATGGCATCAAGTGACCAAACAGACCATAGCAGGATCACAAAAGATATTCACATTTTGATTCAAACAGCTTGTGAACTCTAAGATATTGCACTTTAAAGCTTCCAAGTAAAGTTAAGCTGTAAACGTTTTATGCCTTAGGGCCGAAGGCATAAAAAGTCTCTTAAAAAGAGAAAACCCTTCTTGATTTACACATGATGCAACATGGCAACAAATCCATTTTGAATGGACCACCTATAAACACTTACACTCCCACACCATATTAAAGGAATATGATTAAGAATATAAAATAAAATCATTTAAAAATATTCTCTTTGGTTGATTATTTTGCTCTTAGTGTGATTTTCTGAAGAAAATTTTAATTCTCAGTGTTTCTCACACACCACGGCAGTCCATTGTTTGAGAATTCTAAAGGCACGCATTACCGAATCTTTGTATGTGGCCCAAAGCACGGCTGGAATTCATCCTGTCCTGCCTTGATCTGAAATGACAATGTGTGAACAAATGGCGGCCAAGAACACAAGTTATTCAGTTATTCCTGAACTCTACCCATGTTTACAAAGCCTCTCCCCTATGACACATTAGTCAGCCATTTGTCTCTCATTAACTGTCTCAAAAGACAATCAATCCAAAGTATTGCCTACATAGTTTCTGCACGTAGTTTTCCGTTGAACAATATGAACTTTTCCTTCAAAAGAAAATATGTCTAATACAGAAGGGAGAATAACAGGTTTGTCCTGCACACGCCTCCCAGCAGTTTTTCAGTTCTGACAATAAAAAAAAAAACACCCTATACACAATATGTAGCGTCCATCCTTTTGAGCTTATTTGCTCATGAAGAGATTCATCAGTCCGGCATTATGCAGCTCTTGCCACAACCTCATTTCCATTCGCATGTCATGATTGGCATAGAAATGCACTGGATGTTGCTGTTTGTCGTAGTAGTGGTCCGAATACAATCTGTAGTCAGGGGTCATGAACCCATAAGCATCAACCTGTTAATAAAACAAGCATCATCATATCACTAACTTTCCTTGGCAGACAAAAAGATTAAAAGGTTAATGCTCCATCGTGTTTGAAAATAATGTACTACCTACACTAAAGCCTAACTGATAGTATTAACAAAAGCAACTGTGAGATGAAAAAAAACATTCGCTGAAGCAACCATGTAATTTTAGCTTGCTTCTACAAGTCTTTGAGCTTTTTTATCATGACTCGTGTTTCACCGGACTTGTACATGATCATGCAATGCTGTAAACCTACCAAGCAAGTTTACTACATCAGAGAAAAGCCATGCATGTGATGCAAATGTCAAAATGTATTCAACAAATCATGCACTGTGGTAAAACCTTTTTGCGGTCCTAACATAATATTATGCAAGGAACTGCACGAAAATAATACTTTGTTATAATCTGCCCCTGTAATCATAATTTACGTGAGAAGGAAAAAAAGTTATTTCAACTGGAAACAGCAGTGAATTTTATGTATAAGTACATTTTGAATGTTTTTTTCTATGAGACTGGGTTGATTTTATGACAGCAATAGTCTTTAATATGTCCAACCAAGGTCACCTGTCTGTATAGACTACACATCTAACATAGGTTAAATAAGTGTTTCAACCTTTGACAATCTTGTAAAGCTACTGTAGGTGTTTGCATACAATTTAAGGTACAATGATCTGTCAACACTGTCATTATGTTTTTATCAATTGTGACACAAAACAGACAGAGAAGGACATGGGTGTTGCTACTCATTTTACAGCAGGGCACATTCTTAAGGAACCTTTTTGGTGTCATTAAAATCTCATTAAAAAAAAAAACACAAAAAACAAGCAAACCTGGTCACATGTATGAATAGCAGCTAGGAGCATTACTGCTCCTGTGGACGGCCTGTAAATTCTTCTTGCGCCTGTTTTCAGAAGTCTGGAATGCAGGAACCTTGATGAGGAAAATGAAAGTGTTAAACTTCGAAGACCAAACAAAATAAAAAACATACTACATTTAAATCATCCAACCGCTTCTGGATGATCTGTGGTCAGATATGCATGTAAGTTCTGCAATAAAGACAAACATTGAGAGAAAGGTTAGCATGTTTCAGAGCAGTTGAAAACACAGTTTTCACATTAAAACAACAACGGCTAACAATTAAAAACAAAAAATTTAATTGAAAATTAATTGGACCGTTTTTTTACTATACAAAAACAGTATTATTGTGAAATACTGTTACAACTTAAACTGTTTTAAAGGTTTACTATTGTAATACATTTTAAAATGTAATATATTCCCGAGATGGAATTTTCAGCAGCCACTGCTCCAGTCTTCAGTGTCACATGATCCTTCAGAAATCATTCTAATATACTGATTTAGTGCTCAAGAAACATTTCTTACTATTATCAAAGTTCAAAACAGTTGACTCGAACAGTAGCTGCTTAATTTTTTGTGGAAACCATGATACATTTTAGGATTCTATGATGAACAAAGTTTAAATGAACAACATTTATTCAAAATATAAATCTTTTGTACATCTCTTTACTGTCACTTTTGATCAACTTAATGCAATCTTGCTGAATAAAAGTATGAATTTCTTTCACCGGTCACAGTGGAGTTGTAATGTTTAGATGTTTTAATTTGGGTCGTTTAATTAAGTATTTTTCATTGTCACCTGGATAAAATGCCTCAGAGGAGACACGAGAGCAGTGGATTTATTGATGTATTTATGCTACTGTATATTGCTGCTGCCACACAGATCTAAAATAAACAAGCGATTTATTTCCCAGCTGTTTACCTTCACAGACATAACCGACTGTTTTTGTAACTCGTGTGTTTTTAACGTAAACTTGTGTGTGAATGAGAACTTAGTTTAGTACTCACATGCTGTGACAGCCGCTTTCTGCTTCCACTCAAAATAGGCATTTTCAAAATGATATAATAAATGATCTGTGGAGTATTTTGAGCTGAAACTTCACAGACACATTCTGGGGACACCAGAGACTTATATTACATATTGTGAAAAGGGGCATAATAGGTCACCTTAACCTGTGCATATTTCTCTCGTGATCCGGACGGGACAATTTTAGCCAGAAGCCATGGTTTGACGTTATGAACATCTTAAATGATGAATTTATTACAAACACGCAGCTTTTCACTGCACAAGATGTTTATTGATGGACTGGAGTCATGTGGATTATTGTGTTTTTATCAGCTGTTTGGACTCTTGTTCTGATGGCACCCATTCACTGCAGAGGATCCATTGGTGAGCAAGTGATGTCTTCATATTCAATGGCCTGAGAACATTTTCAGCACATTTTGAGTGAATTATTCTTTTAGGAACACACACACATTGCAAACACTTTTGCACAATCACATTTATGCAACACCTAACAACAGTTCATTACCAACTCATTCTCAAACATTATTACGTGGTACTGGTACAACAGGTTTCCCCAAGGGAAATTTTGAAATTCCCTGAACTACTAACAGAATCGCAAGATTTAATGCCATCTAGTATACCGTGCCATTTCTTGACCTTTAGTTTTTTTTCTCTTACCATGCTTGTGTTAAAATTAGAGATTTGCCCTTTTAAAAGCATCTGGGCTACATTTCACACAACAGACCCTACTTTCAAAGCAATGATTATGCACTTCTCTAGAGAATACACTTCACCGGAGTAAAGCCAAAGCAGAGAGATTCTACGCCTGACTGAACTAAAGGAGCAGAACCAAAGCCATAGATCTCCTGTTGTTCATTTCGGTCCCTTACTGGAGAACAAAGCAGATAACTAAGGAAAAGTGATATCCCAACTGGTTTCTGCCTAACTACTTAAACATCTAAGGGAGTTAATTCCTTGCACTTCCACATTTATAAGCCTCTATTCTTTGTGAAGCTGTTTTGGAACAATATGTAGGCTATAGCGGAAAGTGCTGTGCAAATAAGCTGAAATTGAAATCCTACCCCACTACAGAAAAAAGG